GTGGGTGGGGTGAACGACAGGTTATGGAAGTGGAAAACATGGGGAGTATGAGATCCTTGCAGATGAACCAGACCCATTTTTGTAATTGTGTCTTGCAATCCCAGCACATCTGACATTCGATCTCTAGGGTGTCAGAAGACCTCAAAGACCACACCCTGTGACAGGCGGCAGAGAACGGAAGGTGGGTAGGGACACAAACCAGGACTACAAGAGGTGGCGGAGCGGCCGTGAGGTCGACGCGCGGAGACTGTGCCTGAACACAGCGGGGTCCAGGAGTGGACGCTGTGTGTGCCCGGCTGTGTGGGTGTGTAGGATGAGTTGTGCGTGGCAGACGCACCGTTTGCTTTCTTGGGAGTCTGTTTCATTGCATGTAAAATGGGGATTGAGGTGGTTGTATCTGGTGTGACATCATCTTTATGATAGGAACAGCGGAGACACTGGCAAGTGCTTCGTTTCACTCTGTCTCACGTGAACCACGAGGCAGGCGCCGAGGCGTGAAACTGAGACTTAGATCACGCACTGGTTGCGTGAGGATCTGTGTCCATGGCGGGTTCCCGAGTCCCTGCTTTTAACTATGTCATTATGTAGCCTTAAAGTGCTGTGCAATCCTGTAGTCTACTGTAAAACATTGTATAATAATATTATGTGGGACTGTTTTTATGGTCCTACCGCTTGGGGTGTACTAAGACTAAGGATGATGAGGGTCGTGGTGGGGTCACCTTGAAACGGGAGAGATCTCGCCCGTGGAGTTGACCGTTTTTGGAACCCCCACACATTCCGTCATGTCCCTGACATTAGCGCACAGTGTGATAAAATATTTTCCAAATGTATTCAGAAGCTTTTAGATACCTAAATATTTGGAAGGAATTACCCAACAAACCCAGGAAAATAAGTCCCAAAGATAAAAGTGCCACTGGTGTCAGGTCTGGAAACTTTCTAAGATAGTGTCTTAATTACTGTGGTAGAATTATCACCACCCACCCCCGCCACCCCAGGATATCCGTGTTCTAATCACTGGAACCTGTGGACATGGGACCTTGCGTGGCAAAAGGAACTTTGCAGATATGGTTCAGTTAAGGATCTTGAGATGGGAGATTGTCCTAGATCGTCCCAGTGAGTCCCATCCAGTCACGAAGTGGAAGGGGCGGGCTGAAGAATCAGAGTCTGGGGAGGCCGAGTAGTGACAGAAGCGCAGATCAGAGCAACGAGAATGCTGCCGGGGCCGCGGGCCAAGGCATGAAACTGGCGAAGACGAGACATGGATTCCCTCAACCACCACTCACCCCCTTTCTCGAGTCTCCAGAAGGAGTGTAGCCCTGCCAACACCTTGGTTTTAGCCCATAAGACCGACCCATTTGGGCCCCGGCCAGTGTGGCTCAGTTGGTTAGAAACTGTCCTGCAAACTGAAAGGTCGCCAGTTCGATTCCCAGTCAAGGCACAAGCCTGGGTTGCAGATTTGGTCCCAGGTCAGGGCCTGTATGGAAGGTCACCGATCAATGTTTCTCTGTCACACTGATGTTTCTCTCCCTTTCTTTCTTTCTTCCTCCCTTACCCCTCTGTAAAATCAAAATAAAATAAAAATTTTTAAAAAGACCAATTTTGGACTTCTGACCTCTACACCTGTAAAATAATATATTTGTGTTGTCTGAAGCCACTAAATTTGTGGTGATTTGTAAGAGCAGCACTAGGAAACTAATATAGTTACTGGCTCCAGAGATACATTGTAAACATAAGATTCTTAATTTAGATTAAACCACAAAGAATGCCAATTACTGCCTTTAGTGTTTAATCTTGGGATATCTTGATTTGTTTCCTTTCAGGCAGATTTTGGTTTACGTGGTATGCTCAAATATATGGCGAGGGACCAGGGCTTCGGGGGGAAGTACAAAGCTAACCCCAATGGGGAAATAACTGTTCCTCCACAAAGGATTTTATAGGCACAGCAAATAAATCTCTCTCCCAAGTAAAATACTAAGAGCTTAAAAATATTCAAGACCATTTGTCTAAAATTAGCTTTTTGTCCCTTAAAAATAAGTAGAAAATAAAGATTTTTAATAAGTTCATTTATTTTTAAAAGATTTTTTTAAATTTATTTTTAGAGAGGGAAGGGAGGGAGAAAGAGAGAGAAACATCAATGTGCGGTTGCTGGAGGCTGTGGCCTGCAACCCAGGAATGTGCCCTGGCTGGGAATCGAACCTGGGACACTTTGGTTCCCAGCCCGCGCTCAATCCACTGAGCTACGCCAGCCAGGGTCATTTAATGTTTTTAACGACGTTTTTGTGGCAGCTAGGTGGGAGTCCTAGGTCCTGACGCTGGGGCAGGTGACGGACCCAAGAGACGAAGGCTACAAAATGCGTAGATTTAACCTGAAGATCTTACAGCGCTTTGAACCCCGCCCAGGGTGCCGTGTTTGTGTGTGGTGCAGCTTCAGGCAGGGGAGGCCAGCCCTTGGGTGACGGACTGCCGGACTGCCGGACTGCCGGTGCTGCTGGGCCCCAGCGGGAGTGGTTTTCCGGGATGTGGGGCTTCCGGTGGTTTTCCGGGATGTGCGACTTCCGGCGCTGACACCCGGTGAGCCCCTGGCAACCGGGAAGCGTCGGCCACCCTCCGAAGGATGGAGCCGGCCGGCTGCAGGGCGGTTTCGACAGCACCATTCTGAAGTCTGAGCCAGGACCCCACTCCCCGCATCCACCCCGAGCTCCGCGCCCTGGGCAGTTGTACTGGCGCACGTTGTTATTAAATCTGTTTATAAAAAGGAGGAGGAGAAGAAGGGGTTGCCGCAAGAAGCGGGGAGGCCGTCTGATGGAGCCGCCGAACTGCACTTCCGATCTTTTATCAGCAACTGCCAGCTCACTGAAATGGTTGCATCAAAACATCCGAACAGCGCCCTGGCTGGCGTGGCTCAGTGGATTGAGCTCGGGCTGCGAACCAGAGTGTTGCAGGTTTGATTCCCAGCCAGGGCACATGCCTGGGATGCAGGCCATAACCCCCAGCAACTGCACATTGATGTCTCTCTCTCTCTATCTCCCTCCCTTCCCTCTCTAAAAATAAATAAATGAAATATCTTTTAAAATCCCAAAAGCATCAAATGTGTACCTTTTACGTGACTTGTCTCGTTATGAAAACCCATCTGCTCTTCTCTCTAGTGAAGGCAGTTTTCTGAAAGACACAGAATGTACGGTAAACTCTCCCCCAACCATGATGGAGTTGTTAGCCGAATGAACGATCTCAGGCAGATCTGAATCCAGCGCCGTGGGGGCCCAGGTTTCTTCAGCTCCGCGCGGCGGCTTCTGTCTTGAAAACCACCTTCATGTGAGCGGTACCCAGAATCCCATTTCGCAGTCGAGTCGGAGCCTGGCCTCATTAGTGTTGCATGAAACGTAGGTCCCCTTGTTTTTTCTAGTCACTTTACCTCCCTCTGTCTGTCACCAGAGGTTTCTCTTTATAACAGCTGGTGACTAAGAACGAAAGCACAGAGTGACGGACTCTTCAGACTCAAACCATCAACCCGATGATAATATTTTATGTTTCCATCTTCTGGGTGCAGATTAAAATAACCTTCACATTCATGTAAGCAAACCACAAAGCATTGTCCTGGGATTTTTTCCCCAATTGTTTTTCCTTCCTGAAGTGTAGCCCCAGAAAAAGCAGCAAACGCTGCACCTGCCTAGTTGCGTGACTGTCAGGTGTCGGGCGTGTGTGCCGTGAGCTGTGCAGACACACGTGAGGCGTGAGCTGTGCGGTGGTGGGTTAGCACAGCCAGCAGGAAGTGTTTGTGCGGGGTCGAGTCCTGTCCCTTTTTATTGATTGCTTCCTTTTTTCCGTTTTTGTTTTTGTTTTTTTCCCCATTTCTCGGCCAGTAAGACCCATGGGAAGTGGAGTGGCAAGTGGTAGTTACTTTCTTTGGGTCAGTTGGGGGGAAGGGTGCTTCTGTCCTGTCCTGAGAATTATCCAGAATGCTCATCTCTTCCCTCTCCCTTCTGTTAGCCTCTTTTGTTTTTATTTTAAGGTTTTGCTTATTTATTTTTAGAGAGAGGGAGGGACAAAAAGGGAGAGAAACATCAATGTACAGGAGAAACATCCATTGGTTGGCTCTCATGTGCCCTCAGCTGGGGACCTGCCCCACAACCCAGGCCTGTGCTCTGTCTAGGAATCGAACCAGCGACCTCTCAGTTTGCGGAATGACACCCAACCCACTGAGCCACACCGGTCACAGAGTGCTGCTAGCCTCTTTACTAGGGTTGAGACACCATCGGCCTTAGCCTTCTGTTTGGCCCAAATCTGCCACTCACCAGTTCCAGGCTGTCATCTGCACTTCTGACCACTTAGCTATAAACTGAGGGTTCCCATGACCCCCTCCCGAGGCTCAGTCCTTGGGTATAATGGCTCTTAGACCGCAGGGAAACCCTTACTTACATTCACTGGTTTGTTGTAAAGGATATAATAAAAGATGCAGGTGAACAACCATATGCAGAGGTATGTATACAGGACAGGGTGCAGAGGGTCCTGAGTACAGAAGCTTCTGCGCCTGTAGGCTTGGGGCGTACCACCTCCCTGCATGCAGGTGTACTCGTCAGCCCAGCAGCTCCAAGCACTTGGTATTTTAGACATGTGTATGGAGGTTTCACCGTGCAGGCGCAATCAGTTATTGACTCCATTTCCAGCCCCTCCCCATTCCGGAGGATGAAGGGTTGGGACTGAAAGTTCCAAGATTCTAACTGTGACTTGGTCTCTCTGGTGACAGCCCCCATCCTAAAGTTACCCAGGAGCCCACCAGGAGTCACCCTATTAGAACACAGACACTCTAATCACCCAGGAAATTCCAAGGGATTCAGGATCTCCGTGTCCAACAGGGAGACAGAAACCAAACTTATATCTTACTATGTCATAGCGCTCAATGAATGAATAGATGTTAAATGAATGTGTCAGTGGATGAGCTGACTGTGATGTCATATTCTGAGAAAAGGAAGGAAAAGGAACACTTCAATCATCATGAATTATATGCATTATTTTTTATTATCAAAACATTCAGGTTAAGACATCTACATTGCCAAGCCAAAATTAGGAAGCGTTCAGAAAACGGTTCTCTCTAAGGAGAAGGACGCGAGCGCATTACTAATTCTACATGAAATCAGTCCGCATTCCAAGAAAGCAGATCACAGCGGTGGAGCTGTGAGTGCGGTGCAATTACTGTGATGGAAGGACGGACTTCGGTACAAGAAGACAGAGCCTGTGAAATGTGGTTCTCCCGGGCACGCCTTGGGCGACGACATCATTTTAGGCGGTAAACTAACAATGAGAGTGCAGGCATGAGGCATATTGTTGCAGGAAGTGTCAGACGTTTTACACACAGCTGACGTCACACGTCACCCTCTCGGGGCCCCTGAGGGGAAGGGGATCCAGTGATTTTCTGTCACTTCAAATTCTGACTCTGCCTGGGACTTCCTCGAGGATGCTGAAACTCACCAGGAATGAGGCACCAAAACAATAAAGGTTAAAGACTCAGAGGCCATCAGAATGGAAGTCCGTAGCTGTTACTAGAATTCAGGGAGGTAGGAATTTCAGTCCTGAAGTCACATCTAATCCACTTTTTAAAAACACCTTGGGAAGGTAGCAAAAAGGAAAGTTCAGTCTGGCCTAATTAACTTGATTCCTGAGTTGAAAGCCAGATAAAACCCCGTATCACAAAGAGAAGAGTTTTGTTCATCTTATTTTAATACAGTAGAGAGCTGCTGGTTTTAAAAAAGTATCAAAATGGTAAATCTTAAGACTATGTATAAAAAACCTCACAGGTCCTGCGTCAGTCACAGTGTTGAATGGTGGTCTCTATTTATCCTTCAAAGTAGTCATTGAGAAACAGTCAATTCTGGTGCCGAAACCGTGGAAAGGAAATCCCTCAGGAGGACCCTAAAACCTGCAGCAATCCGTCTTCGTGTCCCCAGAGAGGTGGACGTACAGAAATGGTCAAGGTCTGGGCGTGGATTGCTTTTTAAGTAGCGCCCAGACCGCATCCCCTTGAACTGGCTGAAAAGTGCAGGGTGTTGAAAGCATCAAAGCGGCCTTTTCCAGTTTTTAAGTTACCTCCAGTAGTGGAAATGGGATGCGATCGGAATGTACTGGGTAGCTCGGTAGTTAGAGTTGATGGACTCCAAGGCCGTGCTGGTGAATTGCCTGCTTTGGTCTGCAGCCCCCTATAGCTGCTACATAGGAACTCCTGAGGGGCTCCGGGGTGGTCCGGGCTCCCTAAGACCTGTAGCACCAGGGAAGGTAGGGGCCAAGTGTCTGTATGTCCCCACGAGTCAGGCTTGCTCTCTTGTCCCAGTTATCTTGTCGCTATGTAACAAAGAAGCCAAGACGTAGTGTCTTAAAACAGTTTTGTTGTGTGGGTTCACCGGTCAGCTCCCCCTGGGTGTCTCAGGCAGCCGCAGACGTGTGTCAGCAGGCTCTGGGAACATCTGGCCGTCTTCTCTCCCGTGTCTAGTGACGGGGCTCGTGTGATTTGAGAGCTGGAACCGGTCGGGATCCGTCCTCTCCACGCGGCTGCTGGGCTTCCTCTCGGTCTCAGAGTCGTCAGGCTTTCCCCTGGAGGCTGGCTTCCTTCACAGCGAGAGTGTCAAGGGCCAGGGAGTGGTGCAAGTCGCCAGCTGCTTAAAACCAAGACCTCGAAGCTGACACAGCATCACTTCCACTCTTGCGTAAGTGGTCAGAGCCACCCAGATGCAAGGGGAGGAGACGTGACCCCTCAGGTCTTGAGGGTCAAGTGCCAGAGAATCTGTTGCCACTTTAAATCCTCCCCTTTCTCCAACAGGACCCAGGACCCAAAGGGTTCGATCATGGTTGGACATGAACCCAGTCTGACCTCATAATGAGCTGCTTTGTATTGTAGCTCTTTACGCATTAACAAGAATTTTTCCTCCTAATATCTCTGTGAGGGAGCAGGTTGGATAATCAGGCACCTGAGGAGCAGAGATTAAAGGCTGAGGACCACACAACTTCTAGGGACAGAATTGAGGCAGACATCGGGATCTCTTGATGGGTGGTCCATGCCGTGGGAGTCTGGCTTGCTTGTTTATTTACCCAAGTGTCTCTGCTCTCTGACACGGAACTGTAGTGGGGAAAAGTACATTTCCCTTTGTCTGAAAATCTAGCCACAGATCTTTGCAGTTGAAGCTCAAGGTACAAGCAAAGGTAATGTCATTGCAGCTGCCCAGCCCTATTCCATCAAGCAAGGGCTCTTGAAGCCACTGTACTGGCCTCCACTCTTGGGAAACTCCTTCCGGATCCTCCAGCGGCAACAGCTGGGCAGGATAGCAAAGTCCGCCAGGTCCGGGGAGCCAAAGCGCCAGGTGGCGTAGCACCTGTAGGCGCAGTGCCGCAGCAGGCTGTCGGTGGCGTCGGAATCCAGCGCGAGCAAGGGCTCCTGGTAGAGCAGGGAGAACCGCAGGGCCCGAGGGGACAGGACGAGCTGCCCGAACAGCTCTGAGGTGGTGATGCAGGCGCCCGGCTCCTTGCGGCAGCACAGCTCCTCTAGGCACTGGCGGTCCTTGGGCAGCTGGGATGGGAGGCAGTGTCCGCACCTGCACCAGGCCGGGCTGCTGGCTCTCGGAGTCGTCACTGCACTGAGCAGCTGGATCTGTTCTGGTTGCTCGGGTGTGGGGGGCGAGTCCGGGAGGAACTGGGGCAGCCTGGACACCTCTCGGAAATCCATCATGGATCTCTGAAAAAGTCAAGTTTCCAAATGCCATCAGCAAGGACCCCTGGAGCTCTATCTAGGTTCTTTCATTTTATTATTTCACCCATAAAATTATATTTCATATGACGTCAGTATTAGTAGCTATCATGTGGTAAATGCAGGCATCAGGGCTGTAATAGCCTTTTACGAGCCTTGGAAGACCCCCATGAGCTGTGTGTCCTCACGTCCATGGTGCAGGTAGAGAGAGGGGAGCCTATGCTCCTCATAGTGAGCTGATCTTTTCAATCCCTATGTTTACGTGATGCCTCTTCTGCGTGAAAGCAGGGGCCCTGTCTGTTGTGTTTATTGTCGTGTCCCCAGTGCCTAGGGCGGTACCCGGCACGTAGTAGACAGTAAATATTTGTTGATTTAGCTCCACTCTCTCCTTTCCCACCAGGCCCCTCCTTCTGGTGAATCCGTTTGTTATTATGCCCCAAGAAAGATGGTCATAACAGCCATCATTTATACACGTCTGTTCTGTGTGACGTACACCCGCCTTCCTTCACCAGCCAGGGAGAGCCTGAGCCAAGGACGCTGGAAGTGACTAGTTCTTGTATGTACATGTTCACAGCAGCACACCCTGGTCTCCTCCTTGAAGCCTGCAGAACCGCGAGAGGGTCCGTTTCTGTGGCTTTACGCTGCTGAGTTTGTGGTCGTGTATTATGGCAGCCTGCGAACTCATGGGTTGGTGAACATACCCAACAGCCAGAACTGCTGGGTGGGGGGAGGAGCGAGGTAGAGCACCCGCTGAGGGAAGGGTCTGGGGGTGACCACTCAAGCCGACCGTGCGCCTGCCTGGGGCCTCGGCAGTTTCACTTTCAGGGGCCACGCGTTCACCAAAGCAGCCTCGCTGGCGTGATCCCCCCGTGGAAACCGCCCGCCTGTCCATCAGCAGTAGAAGGGGAAACTGAACTGGATGTTTGTGAAACAGAAATGATACAACAGTGAGAACTGGCTCTTGCGATATGCAACGCCGAGGATGATTCTCACAAAAATATGTTGAGTAACAGAAGCCGGACATTCAGCAGAGTATATACTGAGTATACACTATAGGGTTCAAAGTTTATAAAATTCTAGAAGAGGGAGCCACCTGAAACTAGTATAACATTGGATGTCAACTGTAATAGAAAATTTGAAAACATTTACTAATTCTAGAAGAGGTCAAACTAACCTTTGGATACAGGATAATGGTGACCTTTCAGGGAGGGTGGTGATTGGGTGGGGCACCCGAGGGACTCCTGCCAGTGACACTGTTTTCATCCGGGAGCGGGTCGCCTGGGCTCGCTTTGTTTCACCTCGTCAAGTGTGATTTGTACAAATCTCTAGGTGTGTTTACCTCTACTAGTAAGTTGTTTTCTTAGACGAAATGTTTTAACTTACTGGGACTTTTTTGCCTTTGACATTTTGCAGACTTCTCCCACGCAGCTGTTCATCCACCATTCTGACGTGGGCTTCATCCACAAAGGACACATATTTTAGTGTCTAGGGAAAGGAGTTCAAGATGTTTATCCTTTTTGTATAGAATTATTAAGAATTGCATACACAAACATATTCTCATTGACCAAGTGGCAAACGGTTAAACAAGTTAACCAGAAGCTCCTGTCGACCAAGAACGAGTGGTTTCTGAGTCTAAAGGTGAATCAGAAACGGAACCTCATGCACCTGAATTTGTGGGCTCAGAGTATCCACAGCTCACTGCCTAATGTTTAGAGTTCTCCCCAGGTGCCACGTAAAATTTCTTCATTGTGTTCCCTCAATTTAAGTTACTCTAGATTGAATATCTCCAGAAAGTTGTATCATTGCAACTGGAATTATTTATATTTCCATTAAATTCCACCCCATGTTGGGCCATGAAATAGTGATTATTTTTAGCTGCAAAGATGAACTTTCATTTCAAGCTGTGTGTACACGCACGATGGACAATGACCCATGCATTCAGCCGCTGGGAAAGGCCTGAGTCCTTCTTAGATGAGGGGGAGGCAGAGAACCCCTCTTTGTTGTGTTGGAGCACCAGTACCGCATTCTTTTAAACCGGTGCCTGGAGTTCCTTGCTACGGAGCTATCATAGGCTGAGGCACTGCTCACTGCTTGGTCATTTGGGTAGAAGCTCTTTCTTTAGTGACTGTTGCACCGCGTGGACACCTTATCCACGCGTGACACTCGGGTGCTCACGTGAGTGTTTCTCTAGGGCAGGTGTGGAGGCGTGGGAATGCCGGGCTGTACAGCATGTCTCATTTAAATGTTACTAGACTCTGCCAAGTTTTCTCTGAAGTCATTATGTTAATTTTTTTTTTGCTGTACCCACGTAATAAATCGGACAAAATTGACAAGTCCTGGAACGTAAAAATCTGTTCTCCCGCCCTGGCTGGCGTAGCTCAGTGGATTGAGTGCGGGCTGTGAACCAAAGTGTCGCAGGCTCGATTCCCAGTCAGGGTACATGCCTGGGTTGCAGGCCATGACCCCCAGCAACCACACATTGATGTTTCTCTCTCTCTCTCTCTCTCTCTCTCTCTCTCTCCCTCCCTCCCTTCCCTCTCTAAAAATAAATAAATAAAATCTTTTTTTAAAAAATAAAAAATTTAAAAGAATCTATTCTCCCTCTAGCTGGCCTCTCCATTTTTGTTTCTGTTCTTCCCTAAGACCGAAGGTTTCATCTGAGAGGTGGAGGAATGGGGTCGAGTCCAGAGACTTGACCCTGGGATCACACCTCTGATTTGGGCCTTATTTTGGTGCACTTCCCAGGGGTCTGGCGGTGTTTTGGCCCCACAGGCAGGGAGTCCTACCCGCTTTGGCTCTATGATGACCTCGCACTTCTTCCTGTCGTAATACTCATTGATCACGCAGCTCTTGCAGCACGTGCAGTAGCGATAAACGCAGGATCGACAGCAGGTGCTCGAGTAAGTGTCGATGAGAAAGTCAATGAACAGAGTGGCCTGGGAAGAACCCGGACACGTGCCACGTTAGTGAAACTTCTTTTTGCAAAAGCATCATCGCAGAGCACGGGGAAGAGAAGGCCTTACCAAACCAAAGTAGGAGAGGGTCGAACCGATGTACACGATCAGTGAGATAATGTGAAATTTTCCTCCCTGAAAACAGAGCAGGAAAGGTTACTCAGCGGAAATTCCGAGCGAGGCCCTTTTGCTCTAACGCGTCATGGTTAGTGCCGGCAGAGGGGGCGGCTGGTGCCGTGACTTGGACACATGCATCCACGGTGTTCAGAGCAGCAGAGGCCAAGGAACCTGAAGAAGCCCGGACTCTCATTCTGCCTTCCAAGATGTGCTTGAAAACGTGACTATTTTCAAGAAAGCGGTGCTGGGACCCACACACTGAGAGGAGACCCACGGAAGGCGGGTGTTTCAGACAAGGTCAGGGTTTTGGACAAGCTTCCCCTCAAAGTGGCTTGAGATTAATTACCTTGGGAGCAAAGGAAAGGGATATCCACAGACTCCTCCCTTCAGTGTCCTTGTGGTTTTTATTTTCAATGGTCTTTCTACCCTCCCAGCTATATCTCATCGGTTCTCATTGTGCTGCTTATCACCACGTTGCGTAGACAATATGCGGTCGGACAAGGTGGAGTGGGCAACGTGTCGATGTTTTGCACGCCCAGCGTCCCCTCCTTCCCTCTTCTGGAGACAGCACCCCAGTTTTCCTTTGGAGAACCCTCTCCGTCCACACTCGGTGTCGGGGAGAGACTGCTCCACGGTGGGGCTGCTGTCTGACCCGCGAGCTGGACCTGGCTGGAACGGGGGCTGCTGAGCACGGAGCCCCGTAGAGACGGACCGTGACCGATGTTCGTTCTGGCATAAAGCAGCACCCCTCCCGCTCCCCGCTGCCCCAGAGCAGACATTGTCCTGACCTCATCAGGTGCGTAAAGTAATTGCCCGTAGCGGGTAGCGTTCACATACTAGTACCCGTGGGTGTCCCCTTTTTGCCCTGTGGGAATCCCGGGCACCTGCTAAGTGGCACAGGGGCCCATTTTGCCTTGCAGCTGCCCGAGTGCGCCTTGTACGTGAGTTTCCCGTAATAACCTCTCCCCAGACTGGAGTGGCCTGCCTCTTTCTTCATTCTTCCCCTGACCTCCACTTACAAGATAGGTTTGCAGTCCCGGGGCCCTCCCCTGGGTCCGTGTGTACTAACCCGTGGTCCATGGAGTCTGCGGGGCAGGGGCTGGGTCAGAGCTGGCCGGAGACCAGCCATGGAGAGGACGGCCTAACCCCGGCCGCAGTGACTAGGCGAGGTCGCTAGCCCGGTCAGACATGAGGAGCTGCCTTGCACCACCACCCAGGCGGGCAGCGGGGGGTGATGCCAAAGCAGAGGACAGGTGTGAGAGGTGGAGGGGGCAGATTCTTGGTGGTGATGTTTGAGGGTCTGGGCCCAGCCACACCAGGAGCTGAAATGGCCCCTGGGTCTTTCAGTGATGTGAACCCCCTAAAAAGAAGCCTTTTCTCCCCGAAGCCAGTTTGAGTTGGCTTCTGTTCCTTACTAACTACTTTATTTTGCAGAGGGATTTCTTTCTTCTTTTTTTTTTTTTTGAGCATCAGAAAACTTTTCAGTTGAATGTTACATGCTCTTCCCTGCCTGTCTTGTACTCATCAGATGGCTGTTCACGGGCAGGACCCCGGGACGTCTCGTCCCCCCCCTCCCCCGCACCCCGCAGGTGAGGTGAGCAGTGCCGGCCCAGTGGCTGTCACCACAGCGTTCGCCCCCTGAGGCATTGCAGCAGGGGTCAGGAATGCGGTGCCCGAGGCTAGAAGCGGAGACTTACGGTGCCGAAAACCAGGATGTCAAAACGGATCCCGAAGACTTTTGTCAGCGTCCGTTTCTCAACACCGTTTTCCGTGTAGTACTTGGCGTGTCTGCAGGAGGAAAAGGATCCATAGGTATACAGTCCCACCTGAAAGGGCTGGCGTTTTGTGAAAAAGAAAAATCAAACCAATAGCCGATCTAGGCTCCCTTATCCTTCTCCTAGCTCTGCCGCGGTTGGCAGCGGGAAGAACGCGATCTAAACCCGTGGCTGACGCTCTCCCACTGCCTGGACCCGGGGCGCCACTGCCCCGCCGCCTCTTCTGCTTCCGCCATCACAGGGTGACGAGGAGCCTGCCTTTTGTTTAAAACAAGAACAACTTCTGACCAACAGTGCAAGATTAAGAAAAAGCAGAGAGATTTTTTTTAAAGCTTCAAGCAATCTGATCCTTCTTTGAGAGGGAAAAAGGGGTCTTCTAGAACACAGGGTTGGGGGTGAATCTTAGATACTCATCACTGAGTTGGAGACAGCTCTCTCAGCCATCTGTTCTGACTGTGGTTTTTTAGATTCCGTGTTTGTCTATCTGGCATCCTTCATCACGGGGCCAAATTCACAAGGAGAGTCGTTTCCATCTTCCCCGCAATCCAGCTTTTGCAAGTGCATGAAAATCACGTTACAAACTCTTCAGCCAATCCCGAGTCCCTATCTCCAGCCACCTTTTTGACCTAATTCTCACACATTTGGCTAATTTCTTGCTGCCTTAAATCGGCCAGGGCCAGGCACCAGACAGCCAGAGACCACCCCTGCCCACACAGCTTAAACTAGTCCACGCTAAGCCCTTTCCCCGGCCCTGCCTGCCTTTCCCCGGCCAGACACAACAAAGGCCCCGGGTCATGCTTTCCCCTCGCTCCTGCCTCCCTACCAAACCCGGTGCTTCCCCCTGCGGCCCTGTGCGGCCCTCTCCTTTTCGGGAATGTAATAACATTCTCCTTTCCCTGGTGGTCACTTCTCCATGTCTTCACTGTCGCCTTACAGGTTGAGGTCCAGGCACAAATCAGAGTCACCCCAGGTAGGCATCTCTCGCCAGACCTGCTGCCAGGAAGTGTGGTGTGTTTCATTTTCCGTGGACAGTTAGGGAGGCTCAAGCCATAGGCCTTGAGCAACTTTGAAATCCGTCCCTCCCTCTTACCATCTTTCTGTGGTTTTTTAATTTTTACTTTTATTTTTTTATTTTAATTGTTGTTCAAGTACAGTTTTCTGCCTTTTATTCCCATCCCAGCCCACCCCTTCTTTCTTTTAGGTAAAGGTCTATATTTCTTTCTGAGTTATTAATTCGCAATCTGTTTTCAGGTGTGGGGAGGAAAGAAAACAGAAAACAGATGTTCTGCCAGAATACAACATAGAACATCTGAAACTTGTTTTAGTTCTCAAAATCTGACATTGAGATCGGTTAGACATTTCCAGACACGTGACCGTGTTTCTGGCCAGAGTGTTTCAATATCTTTACACTCGATCGTTCTCATGCCGTGACAGTTCTTTCTTCTGCTGCTCTGGTGAGTGGCTTGCGTTTTAACGCACAGCGCAGGCGAGCATTGCCACTGCATGCCCTGCAGCTGCATTGTCTCCCTCTGCAAGTTCGTTTGACTGGGAAGGTTAACAGTGTGCAGTATAAATACTTGAGTTTCTGCTTTCAAGATCTTGATAGAGCGATTCTCAAACCGAGGGCAAGAATTACTTGGGACGTGTGTTCAAAGGCAGGTTCCTGGCCCTTCCGCCCAACGGCTGGTGTCAGAGGCCTGGGGTGTTTCTAGCAATCGCTGTTTCCAGGAGAGGTTCTAGGTGGTTCTGGAGCAGCTGGTCCGTGGGCCACACTCTGAGAAAAATAGTAGGCCCTGGACAAGGATGTTTTCTGGACACTGTAATGGGTTACACAGTCTCCCCCCAAACTGACACATCCAAGTACCTAACCCCCATACCTATGGGTGTGACCTTATTTGGAAATAGAGTCCGCAGGTGTATTTGAGGTCCTTAAAATGAGATCATCCTGGATTTAAGGTGGCCCTAAACCCAATGACGGGGGTCCTTACAAGAGAAAGGAGGAGGAGGGTTGAAACAGAAACACAGAGGAGAAGACCATGTGAAGACAGAAGCAGATCCTGGAGCGGTGCAGCCACAAGTTAAGGAATGCCTAGAGACCCCAGAAGCTGGAAGAGGCATGGAAGGACCCTCTCCGAGAGATCCAGAGGGAATATGTCCCTGCTGACCCCTCGATTTTGGACTTCTGGCCCCCAGAGCTATGAGAGAATACATTTCTGTTGTTTAGTCTGCCATGTTTGTTACAGCAGGCACAGGGAGCTCATACACACACACCCCCATTCAGAACCAGAGGGGAGCATCAGGCATCCTGCGTGGGTCTGCCCTAGCTACTCGTCCCGTGAATAAACTGAGTCACACGTTCACCTAATAAGGACCTTTGCCATGGGCATCTTTTGGTAAAAGACAGAAATTCCATAATATGATCAGCTTCTTCAAATTCCTATGTTTCACCAAGTTATATTTTTTTTTCATATACTTCACAGAAACTATAATTGCCTTCCCTTTTATGTGGCTGTTTGGACAACTTATTTTTGGCTAGAGGCTTCTCCTGGTGACAACAAATGCTCTGACACTTTGTTCTAAAAGAGTGTTAACATCATAAGAATCTCAGATGTTCAGAAAGCTCAGATCTCCCCAGGAGCTGATGTTCTCAGGCTTAGCTCGGCGGGCGACTTGAAGGACATGTGCTAACATCTAGTCAGCGCAGTGCCCCGCGTGCTTGTGCTGACTGCTAAGGAAACAGCCCGTGAGGGCCGTCGGGGAGCGCTGGCCCCGTCCTGTCTTCTTGCTGATGGCCGCGAGCCTAGTCGGGGGGAGCAGCGGGGGGCGATCAGAACGTTCCTGAGGCTTGGAGCTGGTCTCAGGGCCCTGGAAGAGATTCCACTGTCCCAGAGGAGGCAGCCAGCCCATCGTGGCTTGACCTCAGGCCAGCCTCTAGGCAGGGATTTCTAACTCCGGTGCCCCCGGGGGCCCAGCAGGTAACGGAAACGAGTCATGGGAGCCGGGTATAAATAAAGCAATAAGGAGTGGTGGGGACAGTGGCAAACCCCAAATCATGCCCTTCCTAAAGGGAACCACTAATAATAGCCCCAGCCGAGTGCTGCTGTGTGGGCTGTGAATCCAGAGTCATCAGACGGTTTCGTTTCTTTTTTTCCAAATAGTTTAATTTTCCAAGAAAAGGAGGAAGTCTAGGTTTTTATGCAGACTGTGTTAACTTTCAAAACATTATGTAGGCCAATACCTAAATAAATATTATAGTTACGTACATACATACATACATACGTACATAGTTGAAGTCTGCTTGCCGGTTTATGGTGTTACTTTAACATCTAAGAAGAAAGTATTTGGGGTGCCAGGTGATAATAGTCTAGACCCGTGTCTCTGAAACGTCAGTGTGCCCATAAATCTCCTGGGAATCTTGTTAAAACGCAGATTTGACTCAGGGAATCAGGAGTGGGGCCCGAGATTCTGTGTTACAACAAGCTCCCAGGTGAGGCCCCGGCCGCCGGTTCCAGGCCACCCTGGGTGGCGAGAATTTGGAGTGCCACGATCCCGAATTATAAGTGTGCTGTGGTCTCACATGAGCCTCGTGAAAAAATTGGTCACACGAAGGAACATTCACCAGAGGGTTATCGATTATCTCAAGGTGGAGGAGTTATAATGGTTTCTATCCTCTTCTCCCTGCTCTTCTCTGTTTTTCCCCGGCATTGCTTTTGTTTTTCAAAGAGTGTGCATCTCTTCAGTAATTAAAAGGAAAAAATTCATTGACCACCTGGATCTCAGAGGAAGTCCTCTCCATTCATCCCAATGCTGTTGCCTTGGGAACCCCAGCTGAGCTCCCTGCCTGCTGGGGACGACACAGTTCAGCTGGGCCTGGCAGGTCCCTGGGGGGCCAAGGTCGGCCAGTCTGACCTTGGGCACCGTTACCTGAAGTTGTAGCCGGGGTACAAGGTCTGGTTGGTGATCTTGTCGTCCAGGCGACGGAACCTGTACTGTGGGCTGCAGTGGAAGGACCAGCTGTCCAGGTTGCAGTCCCAGTAGATCTCAATGCCCATGATTCCTCCCTGAGGAAGACAACGAGAGGCGATCTCTAGGCCCTGCTGACGGGGGGAGACGCAGCCACCAGACATCTCTCCCCGCCTGGCCATGATTCCCTTCCCAGGAAAGGTTCTCCTTTTTGGGAAAAACGGCTGCCTACAGGTTCCAGAGCCATAAGCGAGCCCTATGCTCCTCACACGGTTATGACTGAGGCCGCTGCAAGTGCAGCTCCCTGCTCCCCGCCCCCCATCCCGGACACGCCGCCAGTAGATCCGCTTTCCTAACATCTGGTTTCCAGCAGACCGCGCGCATCGGAGGGGCGCAGACTTCTCAGCCGGAACCCAGGGCGCGCCGCCGCGGCGCGTCTGCTGCCGGAGCCGCCCCCCCCCCCCCACCCCCCGTGCTCCCCTAGAGAAGGCTCTCGTTCCAAACTGCCCACCCTTTCCCCTACACACGCGTCACTCTTGCATTTCTGTTTCTCAAACAGCTCTATGGAGAGACAGGTCACATACACTTCATCCGCTTAACGTGTGCAACTGCACAGATTTGCACATGTCCACGTAGATGTGCAACTGTCGCCGCAGTTTTACGTTTTCATCACCTCCGGGAGAAACCCCGTAAACTGGTCATCAGCCCTCCATCCCCTCTCCCAGCCCTAAGCAGCCAGTGTCTGTCTCTGCAGAGATCTTTATTCTGAACTCGCATATGAAAGATACCAAATGATATGAGGCTCTCTTCACTCGGCATAGTGTTGGTCCACGTTATAGCGTGTGTCTTTTTTTTGCGGCAGAAGGATATTCCGATGCGTTTTGTGTATCTACTCATCGGTTGATAGACATTTGGGTTGTTCCGCCTCTGGGCTATGGTGACCCATGCGGTTATGAACATTTATGTACCAGCTTTCGTGTGGACACATGTTGCCATTGCTCTTGGGTACATACTTAGGAGGGGAATTGCTGGGTCTACTTCGAACTTGTAAATCTGGGCCCTTACTCACCCTTTGCCCCAGCGCAGTGCCCCTCCCGCCCACTTCTGTAGCAAAGTGCCCCTCGTCCTCCAGGACCCGGCTCCCATCCTCCCTCCGCCACCCCACCCTCCTCAGTTCAGGGTGACCTTCTCCTCCTCGGAGCTCCTAGGGAACCTCTTACCCTCTTACTTCTGTACCTGTGCCTCTTTCTACAAATAGACTTTGAGCACCAATCATCCTATGTCACTGAGTTTTATTTCATTGAATCTTAGACACCATTGCTTGTAAGACATAATTTTTCTATGTTCCTCTAAGGAGAAAATGCTGTCAATTGAACTGTGAGATTCCATCGGTTGAAAACATTTCCTGACTTCAGAACTGTGTTTTTTTATTTAAGATTCTATTGATTTATTTTTAGAGAGAAGGGAAGGGAGGGAGAAACAGAGAGAGAAATATCGATGTGTGGTTGCCTCTCACATGGCCCCCACTGGGGACCTGGCTGGGAATCGAACCAGCGACCCTTTGTTTCACAGCCCACACTCCATCCACTGAGCTACACCAGCCAGGGCTTGATTTCAGAACACTTAAGATGTGAAAACTGGCTTTGAACCATGAAATACGGCATTTCGAGACAGCGTGCTAGACGCTAGGGATACAAAGGTGTGTCATTGGCAGGCTCTGGCTCGGGGGAAGGAGAAAGAACACAGAATAATCAATATTGTCATTCATTGTCAGCCACCGCACCAAGCACTCTGCATGCTGTAGTGACTATCTAGTGTTTTTGTCACTCGTCGTCCAAAGAGCCAAGGAAGGCAAGGAACGCAGCTCTAGAAGGTGGAAAAGGCAAGGGAGTGGATTCTCCTCTGAGTCTCTGGCGGGAGCACGGCCCTGCTGCTGCCTGCCGCCAGCCCGGTCTCGGCCGGGGGAAGCTGGTTTTGGACCTCTCGTCCCCAGGAGGGAAAACGCAAGCGTGTGCTCGTAAGCCACTGAGTTTGTGGTGACCTGCTACAGCAGTCTCAGGAAACTCAGTGTACCAGGTGCCTCACCCCTGGGGTGGCCGTGGGACTCGATGAGGTGGTGCAGTGACAGCACTCGGCATCGTGCGTGGGTTTACTAAATGCTCAGGAAGGGACCCATGTTACTAAGGGACCCAGCGGCTCGGCCTCTTGGCCATTTGACACCTTCCGTCTCCCGACACGAATCCCCCGCCCCCGCCACCCCATGGCTCAAAGGCACCGCCCACCTGAGCCGCCACCTCCGAAAAGTTATCTCCTGTTTCTCGGAAGATGTCTCCCAGTCGGAAAATGGGGCACAGTGGGTCCTTCGTCTTGTGGAAGATGCAGGTCTTGTTGAAACCTGGTAAGATGTTTCTCCTGCACGTGGTGAAAAGCAGACACACATCCCCGTTGAAGACTGGGGTCCATCCCTCGAATAGGAATGAGTGGGGAGGGGGGCGGCGACTGGGCCCCCCAAGAGCCCCCAGTGGCTCCCGCCTCCTGGTGTTCGCAGCCTCGTGTGGTCCCCTGCCACACTGCAGCGGGGTTGGTCTGTGTGACCGGCAGCCTATGGCAGACACGATGGTGTGTCACTTCCAAGTTTGGGTTATGGAAGGCTGTGACTTCCACCTTGGTGACTGCGGTGCCTGCTCGCTCTGGGTCTCCCTCGGATCATCCGCTCTGAGAGGTCCAAAACCCTGAGGACACTCAGGCAGCCCCGGGGAGAGGTCAGCGTGGTGACGAACTGGACCCTCCTGCCAGCAGCCTCGTGAGTTTACTTGGAAGGGGATTCTCCGGCCCCAGGCAAGTCTGGGGACGGTTCCAGCCCTGTTGACAGCTGGGCTGCAACCGAGACACCCCGAGCTAGAACTGCCCGGCCAGGTCTTTCCCAGATTCCTGGTCCCCAGAAACCGCGTGAGATAATAAATGTTTGTTGTTTTAAGCTTCTAACTTTTGGAGTAACTTGCGACACGGCAGTAGATAACAATACAGCCAGACATTCGGGGCACTTACATGGTGAAGTTGTGGCTGGGGAAGTCGATGTTATTCTTGATGAACACAGTGAAGTTTTCGGCACTGTTCAAGAGCGCGGGCCTGAGGGAGAGACATGCCCCACGGGGGTCCGTGACTGTAGGCACCACGGAGGCGGCGGACCACTGGGGCCAGAGGCGCCCGGTCTCTTGCTTGGGTCATTGCAATGAGTGGAGAGAAAAGCAATCTAGTGTGCCAAACCTTCCGACCTTCTCCAGCTTTTCCAGTGAGAATTCTCCCCTCCCGAGACCCCACAGCCCTTCTCCCACTCTGCCATAATTATGTGTTGAGTTTACCGACCAGCGCGCCAGGAAAGACCAAAGACCTAAATGCAGCATTTGCTGATGCCTGTGGTGCAAATACTCCCACCGTGTCTGACCTCAGGCTACCAACTGGACATCACTGAACTTGGAGCCGGGAAGGGACGAGCATAACTGGCCCCGGGGGGGCACAAGCCAGCTCCATCACAACCCACTGGACCTCTCCCAGCAGGCTCGGTGTCCTGCCGGGCTGGGATGAGACTGTTCCTCTCCTACCTCCCCAGCCTCAGCACAGGGCTTCCCGGGTCGGTGACCCTCCCAGGCACTCTCTGGGGAGCACAACATGCTGCGTGAGTTAGAGGGCCCCAAGTTCTAGACCGCAGGAAGGTCTATCCACCCTCTCATTCCACAGAGAATGACTGGCCCGGGCGTGGAACTGGGCGTTGGGGATAGAGTGACGAACGAGACCAGTAAGGTTTTTGTCCTTACGCAGTTGGCAGCCTGTCAGAGACGGAGAGAACTGGCTGCGGACAGAGAGGCGCAGCCGGTACGCTGAGGCCCGGCGTGCCGGAGTGGGTGGAAGATAGCTACTGGGGTAGCACCAGGACAGGTAGAGGGGACTTGGAAGGGGGCACGGAGAACGACTGTTTTTTATTCCGGGATCTGCAGAGCACGGAATTGGCTCTAATGGGGATGTAACTACGCAGGACAGTGTGCTTTTTGCCTGTTCAGTACCCATCCCCCCTCTGTCCGTGGCCCCTCAGCTTTCTCCCTTTGGGGGGGCCCGGTCTCTTCCACCCTCAGCCCAGAGGGCTGGGTGGGGATGAGTCCATCTGCTACTCATCCCTACGGCTCCTGGGTGGGCAGGTGACCCAGAGCTGGCCAAACAGTGTAACCCAATTTCCATGGCCACTGTGCTTGGTTCACAGATTGTCACATGACTTAGGCGGATGAGAACATTCCAGAGCTTTTGTAGGAGCCATTGGGAAAGAACAATTAATTTCCTTTTGGACTATTAGTAGTAAGGGCAGTGTAAATTGGAGTTTACAGACTCCACAGCGTGGAGAGAGCCAAAATCAAAGGAAGACTAACTTGGTAGGAGGAAGAGAGAGAGAATTTTAATGATGTTATTTGAAGCCTGGACCAAGCCTTACCTGAAGTTACACTTCTGGACTTCTCATGTGCAGGAGTTAAAAACACAAGCCAAAAAGTAACACTCCTTTTTTTCCTGAAACCAGCTGAGGTTGTGTATTTGTCGCTTGCATAAAAGAAAATCTTATTTATGGCAAATGCCTGCTATGTGCGGTCACACAGCAAAGAAGTGTTGGAGTCAGGATTCGAACCCAGGTTTCTCTATTCCCTGTTGAAATGCATTGGTCCCTGTGGTTTCAGAGTTTTACGTCAAGTTCTGCCTCCGGGCCTGACCCCGCGTGTGAGGAGAGGAGTCGCTCCAGGGACCACCAAACCTGCCACTGTGATCGCTGCAGGAAACTCCCTTCCCACCCTTCCGTTTCTCCTCCTCCTCCCTGTCTGCTTCCCTCCTTTCCTCTTTCTTCCCGCACTGCCACCCGTCCATCCTCAATCAGTCCGTGTGGACGGGGGCAAGTCAGGGCGGACCCTGCTGTGGCACTCGGGAGGGGTCTGGGGGTGCCTGCAGTGTGCTGGTACGGAAAGGCAGCAGGTGCCCCCCGGGGGCCTTTCCAGCAGTCAGCACCGAATTGCTTCAATATTTTAACGAGTGTGCCGGGCACGGGGTCACCGAGCCAGTCGGACCCAGGACTTTGTGGCACTGCCCCGAGAGGAGAAGCCCGATCGGCACCTGGCAGGGCCCTGATTACCCGCTGCTGAGGGCCACCATGTGGGTCCCCACTCTGTCACTCACCGGGGGACCTCTGCCGTTGCCTCGGCGGGACACCAGGCATTGACTTCGCAGGTCTTCTGGTTCCCTTTATACACCACACACTTGCCAGTCTGAATTCCTGTGGGGTCAAGGGGTCACAGAAGACCATGTGTGAAAATCACGGGGGAAGAAACTCAACCCAAGCAAAAAAATACTTACGCTTTTCAACCGAAGAGGTTTCCGTTTCCATGCAACTCCACCCAAACCACAAGCTTACGGTAAGCTCACCAAGCAAGCAACACATCAAGCAGTAAGCTTTTCGAAAAAGCAGCAGAGAGAACACAGGAAGACCATGAACGCTCTTGGCTCTTGTGGCATCTTTGCAAGAGGGGCGCTGGAAAGGGCGTATTCTCCGGCCCGGCCCAGTCAGGGCACATGCCTTGGTTGTGGGCCAGGTCCCCAGCAGTGCAAGAAGCAACCACACATTGATTTCTCTCCCTATCTCCCTCCCGTCCCCTCTCTAAAAATAAAAGGACGGGAGCCTGGCCCCTCACTGGGCATCTGAGACCCTGCAGGCGTGCACAGCGTGTACCAGGATGTGCAGAGTCACGGGATAAACACGGCCCCTCTTCCGGGAGCATCGGGGTCAGTTAAAGACTTCCGAGGGAAAAGTTAAATAGCAAGTAATGTCAAGATGATCTTCATACCAACTCAAGCACACGTGTATTATAGAATAAGATGGAACATTCATGTGCCCTTTTGTGTGTGTTTCATAATCACTGATGGTATCTCTTTTCTTTTTGTTCTTTTATGTGCTGGCTTTTTATTGTCACGTGCCCTTGAGTTAAGACGAGATATGGAAATTCTGCAGGTTAACATAAGTATGGCTCCCAGGTGTCCCGAGGGTACAAGTTCAAGTGCCACAACCTTTGGGGAATTTCAAGACAGAAAATTTAGAATACTCGGATGTTGTCCTGGCTGGTGTGGCTCAGTGGATTGAGTGCTGGCCTGCAAACCAAAGGGTCGCTAGTTTGATTTCCAGTCAGGGCACTTGCCTTGGTTGTGGGCCAGGTCCCCAGCAGGGGGCGTGCAAGAAGCAACCACACATTGATTTCTCTCCCTATCTCCCTCCTGTCCCCTCTCTAAAAATAAATAAATAAAATCTTAAAAAGAAAGAAAGAATACTCAGATGTTGCTATAAGCCATTTGCTTTTTCTACCAGTTAGAACCCAGAAGGTGCTAATTCTGCAAGGTTTTCAGGAGCTGTCCTCACTGGGGAATTAAGGTCACACTCATGTCAGTAGAGGGTCCCCTGGGACAGAGCCCAGGCACGAGCAGAAACAGGCTCGCCCATGGCCTGGTGAGGGCGGAAGAAGGAAGCCAGAGTTAAAGATCTGAACTTGAGGGCACTGCAGATGCCACCGGGGTGCCAGGCCATCCGCCACCCTCAGGGCCCCCCCCACCCCCCGCAGAAACCAGAACGTACCTTTGCTGTGCGGGCCCATCCATCCCTGTTTGCAATTCTTGTCGGAGTGACAGAGTGTCCTGTGGGTGGGATACTGCGGAGGGAAGGACAAGATAGTGAGGAGTAAGCGTCTCGTATCCCTAAGATACGGAAAAGCAGATGTCTGTGTCCGCGCAAAAACGTGTGCTCAGATGTACGAAGCAGCACTATTTATAACAGCCCAGAATAGGAACAGCCCCAACCGCCCTCAGCTAATGAACGGACGGACAGGATGCAGCGCACTCACATTACAGTGGAGTGTTATCCAACCATCAAAGCGAGGGAAGTACTGACTCGAGCTAACCATGGTCAGACCTCGAAAGCGCCGTATTAAGTGAAAGAAGTCAGCCACAAAAGACCACCTAGCGTAGGATTCCACTTTCTATGAAACGCCCAGAACAGGTAACTCCACAGAGACAGAAAGCGGTCCGTGCGGCCAGGGGCTGAATGAGGGGCGATGGGCAGTGATGGCTAGCGGGTCTGAGGCTTCTTCTGGGGGGGATGACAATGTCCCGAAACCGGGGTGACAGTTGCCCGGCATTGTGAGTATACTGAAAGCCACTGGACTGGACACTTTAAAACGGTGGGTTTTATGGAATATGAATTATATCCCAACAAAAATTAAAAATAGAAATCTAAAAAGCGGACATGCTGGCAGTGGGGGACCCGATGTGGGGAGAGTCCCCAGGGTGGACGGCAGGCGGCCCAGTCCGGGCAGCTCTCCGGCTGCAGAGCTGAGTGAAGCGAACGGCGCAAAGGGTCAGCAGGAAATGTGGGGGGGGGCCGCCGGCCAGCCCTCCCTCCTGGCCCGAGAGAACGAGGCCGGCCAGGTCTCAGGGCTGAAGGCTGAGGACAGGGGAAGGAGAAGAGAAACGTGATGATTTGGGTTACACGTATTCGACCTCCGGTTTCCTGGGGAGCAGGGTCAATGGCCAGCCTCGGGGGAATCGAATGTGACATAGCCTTTGTGAAACCAGAGTTATCTGCTGTGCAGTTTGTGGCTTTTATAGCGATCCGACAGAAGGAGCCAGGTACACCTGGTTTTGCTGATAGCTGCACCATTAGGTCAGGTCCCTGCACCTCTCTGAGCCTCAGTTTCCTCGTCTGTAAAAGGAGGATGCACAGATTTGCCCTAAGTGGCTGCTGTGAAGATTAAGGGAGCATTACTGATATCGATCCAAGGGAATGGCAGCTTGGTTCCGGGTTTAGGTAGAAACGACGGCGAAGCCCTGGCTGGCGTGGCTCAGTGGATTGAGCATCAGCCTGTGAACCAAAAGGTCACCGGTTCGATTCCCAGTCAGGGGACATGCCTGGGTCACAGACCAGGTAGGTCCCCAGCTGGAGGCATGTGAGAGGCAACCGGCTGACGTTTCTCTCACACATCGATGTTTCCGTAGGCAGAACCTGCTCGATAGCGTCACAACGCTGCACCCCTCTGTACAGGGCAGGCACATTACCTGAGTGGGGAACGGCAGGAGAGCACGACTCACAGGTAAACGCCTAGTAACACATGGCTATAGATAAACTTACCAGAACAGCTACTTTTCATCTTAAAGAACAGAGGGCAGAACCGAGAAGGGTCTGAATCGGACAAATACGTTTGATGGGGAAGAGTGTTTCCCAGAAAGAAGCAGGGGAAGGTCAAGAGTATGGAGGGGGCAAAGCCAGGCTGGGGAAGACTACATGGGTGGTGGTGGTGGGGAGGCGTGTAGCTCCAAGAAATGGGATGAGAGGCGAACTCGGCCCGTTTGGCAGTGTTCCCACACAGACAGTTCCCACTGGGTCACTGCAGGGAAAGCTGTCGAAGAGGACGCCTGGGTTCTAAGCTTGGCTCTGCCTCCAGCAAGCTGGGTGACCTAGGGGAAGTCACTTAACCTCTCTGATCTGTGTTCTGACCTGTAAAGTGGGGCTGGGAAATGCTGTCACCCTCCTAAATGAGTGAGGCTTCACTGAAATGGGAAACGCTGCACAAATGCCGCAAAGACCAGTGTTGTCTGAGCCTCGCACGAGCGAGCGGTGGAGGAAGCGGGATTCTCGCCCGCACGGGCTCCTGGTGCTGGAGCTGGAGACTGGGGGGACAAGGACCCAGTGGCTACAGAGAGAGAGAGAACCGCAAGGCCCTCTGACCCTTCCCCCACCCAGCGCAGACCCACACCCCACAGAAGAGGTTCCGTGAGAACTCGTGAGCTCGAATCTGGGATCTCAGATTTCCGAGTTTTCACGTGCCCTCTCTCTGACCCACGCTTCCTCCAGGAGCTCTCACCACCACTCTGACTGCTCTGGGCACCTCCTCACCTCGGCACACACCCCACGCTGCTGGCCTTTTGTCCTGAGAAAGTTTGTCATCACAAAGAAGGAGTTCCCCTGTGGCGAAATGGAGAGAAGTCAAATGAAAGCCTTTTAAGAATAGAGCTACTTAATCATAATAATCCAGCTTGCTAAGTGCCTGGGGGCGAACCTTCCTACTCTTCTAAGCCTCAGTCTGGAAGCCAATTTGGGACTGAGCAGGGATCCGTATCAGAGCTGAGTGAGCCGCCCCGCTGAGCAGGGCGAGAGCGTGGGCAGGTTCACACCGACTGAGCCTTCCTTTTCCGTCCCAGCCTCACATTCAATGGAAAATCACATTCAATGGAAACTCGGGGGAAATGGGGGTGTTGGCCTCAGCAGAGTGCTGTTTAGATTATCCAGGACTTTAACCAAAGGGCAATAGGGCATCTCACCACCTGGGAAATAGCGGGAGGTTTTAACCACCCACTGTTAGAAACAAACAAACATTGCAGCTTGGGGTTTATGCTGTTGCAAAGCTCTCCAGCTGCGGGAGTCTGCAAATACGCCCTTTTGTCCCCCGCGCCCCCATGTGTGCTGTGGTGTTCTCAAGTCCACTTTGATGTCTCTTTTCCACAATTCTAATTTCGTTTTCTTGCTAATTTAGGCGGCCACATATCCTTTCTCTGTGATCTGCATTCTTTCTTTCTTTGTCATCTATACCCTTCCTTTGTGCAAAAATGTACCTAGGAGTGTTTTCCTGGAGATGTTTTTGTTGACAAAATGCCACACTAACAATACAGACTGGTCCTTGTGACTCTGGGCACACCCTGGCAACTCGGTGGCCTTGCTTCCAAAAAGCAGCGTGTAGATCAGTGTGAATGAGTCAAATCGTGTTTTAAATGCACCAGGACACACAGCTATTTCAAGAAACCCTGCAAGGCTTAATAAAGCGAAGAATCATTTCCTTTGAGCTGTTGGGTCTGACCCAATTTTGCAATTTTTAGGATGTCTCAGTTGGGATTTTCATAGAGCTTCTAAAGTAGGGCCAACGTTTTTCTGGAGCGAGGCCCTAGGTCTCGGGAGGGGGATGAGGCCCTGGTGACAGTGGGCAGGGACGCATCCTGGGAGGGTGCTGACCGGCGCTCACCTGCAAGGAGAAGGTGTAATCCGCCGTGTCGAAGACAATGGGCACCACCTTCTTCTCTCCGTTCTGAATGACCTCCTCGTTCACCTCTGCCAACCCTTTCACCTTGGTGTGCACGGAACTGATGACAGACTCCTTCTTCTGGTACAGCTTGTCGGTCACCAAAGCAAAGCTAAGTGGCGGACACAGAAAAGCATCAGTGGTTTTCTCGAGGGCGGCACAGTGGCGTCAGATGCAGGGCACCTCCATTCAAACCCCAGCTGTGCTGGGTACTCCGTGTGACGGCCTTCCCGGGAGCTCATACTCCTCACGTGTAAGGCGGGGAGAAGACTCAGACCTGCCTCACGGGGTAGATCGCTGTGAGGATGCACTGAGGTACGTACGCAAACCCCGTCGTGCTGTTCCCGCGGTGAGGGCCCCCTGCGCGGAAACTGTGGCCCGAAGCCGGCCCCCTGCTGTGGCTGCCTGCTGTCGACCCTCGTGCACAGGACAGCCCCTCAAACGCCAGAGTCCGCCCCGTGTGGGCCCACCAGCTTTGTTCTGGGGCTCAGTAACCCATCGGCACCCATCTACGGGTGTGTCCCACAGGTCAGCCACCTGTCTTCCACCAAGGCACGCCTGGCTGGTAACTAATACTGATGATAGGTGCTGCTGTGTATTGAACGTGTCCCGTGTGCCAGGTGCTCTGCGTGCGTCGTCTCCTTTAATCCTCACAACAGTAGGAGAGAGTACCTGCAGTCATCACCCTCCAGAGGTGAGGAAAAGGCTCAGAGAGGTGAAGGGACGTGCCCAGGCCACACGGACAGTCAGGGGGGGCGGGGGGGACTGAGGTCCTTGGCTGGGAGAGCCGGGCCTTTTAACCGTGCGCTGCGCTCGTTCACGTGCGATGTGGCTCTGCCCCTGGTCTCCCGCATTTTGGTTGGTTCCTTAGCTGTTCATACCTTATCTAGAACAGGAATCTAAGTTATTGTGGCAAGAGAACTGGAGAGGGGAAGTGGGATTGATTATTGAGAATGGTAGATGTCATCCCCATTGATGTTTTCCCTGTATCCCATTGCTCTCCATCATTAAGAGTTTACCCTAAAATCCCTCCCATTGATCTGCCAACAGCAATCAAGACTCAACTACAGGGGGAGGGTGTACTCAGCCCACACAGAGGGAGCACCTCGAGTCCCCAGCTTGGGGGATAGGGGAGGCTGTGCCACTGGACCCTCTAGGCTACCTACTACATGAGGCCGAACTACCAAGACATGGAGTCAGAGCAGCTCTACGTACTACACAGAAACAAGCGCAGGGAGGCTGCCCAAACAAGGAGACAAAGAAACGCGGCACAAAGGAAAGAACAGATCAAAGCTGCAGATAAAGATCTGAACAAAATGGCAGTAAGCAATCTATCAGATGCAGAGTTCAAAACCCTGTTTATATAAGTATGCTTAAGGAACTTAGCGAGGACCTCAGCAGCATAAAAAAGATCCACTCAAAAACAAAGGATACAGTAATTGAAATAAAGAACAATTTACAGGGAAACAACAGTAGAATGGATGAAGCCAAGAATCTAAATGATTTGGAACATAAGGAAGCAAAAACCAACCATGCAGAACAAGAAGCAAAAAATGAGGACAGTACAAACAGCCTCTGAGACAACTTTCAGAGGTCCAACATTTGCCTCATAGGATTGCCAGAAGGAGAAGAGAAAGCAAGAAATTGGAAATCTGGAAAAAATAGTGAAAGAAATAATGATTTGGTGAAGGAAATAGACATGCAAGTCCAGGAAGCGCGGAAAGTCCCAATTATGACGGATGCAAAGAGGCCCACTCCAAGCCACATCATCATTAAAATGCCAAAGGTTAAAGAGAGACTCTTAAAAGGAAGAGAGAAGAAGTTAGTTATCGGAAGGTTGCCCGATGGGAGTGGGGTGTGAAAGAAAATGGGTGAAGAGGTGAGGGGATTAAGAAGTACAGATAGGTAGTTACAGAGGAGCTATAGGGATGTAAAATACAGTACAGGAAATGGAGTAGCCAAAGAACTTACACGCATGACCCATGGACATGAACAATGGTGTGGGGATCGCCCGAGGGAGTGGGAGATGCTGGGTGGAGGGGGGTAAGGAGGGAAAAATCAGGTCCACTGTAATAGCATAATCAATCAAATATAATTCAAAAAAGTTTACCCTAAGTGCTCTCTTTGTTCATTCGGTACGCATTTATTTGATCTCTTCCTTCCGCCCAGCCCCTAATATCCGAATGACGTTAGGAAGTCTGAGCCAATGGCTGTCCACTGGGAACTGACCTGGGAAGCCAAGGCAGAGTGGGCCAAGCTGTGGTCCCAGCCACTCTCAGCCTTGGCTGTGATGTGTAATCCCCCAGGGGGCTTTCAGAATCGCAGTCCCCGGACCCACCCCTGGCGACCGTGATTTAGCATGTCTGGCGAGCTCTCCAGGTTCCTAAATACATTTTCACACTTCCCCAGCTGAGCCTAGTGCACAGCCAGGGTTGAGAACGCCTGGGAGACTCGTGAGAAGACAGCTCACGTTCGCCAGTTGAAGTCCACCCGGAGCAGTGCTCTCCCTGTGACTGAGCGGTCCCATTCCCCCCTGCAGGCGGGTGCCCAAGAGACACCCCATGCGTGTGCCTCAGGAGTTATGCACAGGACTGTTTGCGGCAGCAGTATTTGTAAGAGGGAAAACTGGAGATAACCTCAACGCCCTTGAACACTGAACAGATCGATTGTTGGGTTCACACAGCGGGGATGCTCTGCAGCAGGGACAGTGACGGGGAGACACTTGAATCAGTACAGAAATAACGCTGAGCAACCAAAGCGCACCACGTTACAAGGTTTAAAGAAATCCAAAACAACATCCTAGACTCAAGCGGACACCTGTCCGTGCACACTCATAACGGCGCTATTCACAATCGCCAAAAGCTGGCAGCGGCCCAAAGGTTTATCAGGAGGAGAGTGGGAAAAGCAAACTGTGGTCTACCCACATATTAGTCAGCCATCAGAAAGGAATGAAGCGCTGAGACCTGCGACACTGTGGATGGGCCGTGCACACACTGGGCTGAGTGCAAGTGGAAGGAGCCGTACACAGAAGGTGGCGCAGAGTCAGACCCCAGCGACATGGGAGGTTTAGAATAGGTGCATCCACAGGGGCAAGGAGCAGACGGATGGTTGCCAGGGGCTGAGGGCGGGGAGATGTGGGGATGAACTGCCTCTCGGGGACAGGGTTTCTTTTTGGACAGGTGGTGACCGACCGTGCTTTGGAACTAGACTCCCGGTGATTGCACAACACTGCAAATTTACTAAATGCGGCTGAACTGTACCCTTTAACGTGGTTGTTTTTATGTTATGTGCATTTCACCTCAGTAAAAAAAGGAAAAACGTGTTTATGGCTATGGGCGTACGTTGTAGAAATATAAAAACAGACAGAACGACGGGCACCCAATCCGGGATGATGTTCATGTGGGGAGAGGAAAGGGACCGGGATAAAGGCTGGGTCCGCAGGGAGCTAACACTGGACGAGCGGCGGCGCTGTGTTTCTTCAACTGGACAGCCATGTTTTATATCTTAAGTCCAGCATTTCTGTAACACTCGCTAAAAAAGAAAGCTCATCAGGAAAGACGCTGGGGCGAGAGATCCAGGCCTGAGCTCCAGTGAGCGCACACATGAGGCCGAGCCACGAAATGTCATTCCACAGACGAGTCAGCGACCCTGCTCGGCAGCCCGGTTCAGCCGCGTGTCACAGCAGGCGCGTGGGCCCTGCCGTGTTTTCCCCGTTGCACATTGCAGCGTTGGAGCGGGATGACCCCGCTCAGCCCGGGCCCCCACTCGGGAAGCTCGGATCTGACCTCTGATATCCATTCCAGAACGCACAGCGTGTTATATAGATCAGCCTCAGTGCAGTCCAGCCCTCTCGTAAACTGGAAGAGTTGTCTTCGTATGATAACGAACCTACCGTTTTAAGAATTAAAGTGCTTCAGAGCCGCATCAGAGGGAAAAAAAGAGAGTCTGTAGTACCCTGCCCCATGGTAAGAATATTCTAGTGACCGTCCCAGCAGCTCTTTCCGTACTCACTTGGCGACTTAGACAAGCCATGTCACCTCTCAGGGGCTGTGCATTTAGTCCCCGGATGAGGACATAACTGTCTGGCTTCCTGTGCCCCCTGACCTTGGGCTCTGAGAAGCCACAATTCTGTGCACTCTGAAGCCTGCAAACCGCGAGTCCTGGAGCGAGCAGGGGCCCGAAGGGGCTGGGGATTCAGCCGGGCCTTGTGGGATGGGTGGTTAGAGGTGACGGGGGAGAGGCAGCCGAAGGGTCTGCGCAGGCAGCAGGGTGACAGGGGAGAAGCCTGGGCACACTCCCAGGCAGCCTGGCTGACAAGGACAGGGGGTGAGGGTGGAAGGGGGCATGGAGAGTGAGATGGTAGCCCTGGCTGGCGTAGCTCAGTGGATTGAGCACGGGCTGCGAACCCAAGTGTCGCAGGTTCGATTCCCAGTCAGGGCACATGCCTGGGTTGCAGGCCACGGCCCCCAGCAACTGCACACTGATGTTTCTCTCTCTCTCTCTCTCTCCCTCCCTTCCCTCTCTAAAAATAAATCAATAAATCTTAAAAAAAAAAAAAGAGAGAGAGAGTGAGGTGGTGCCCCTGGGCTGGCCCGCCGCACCCGACTCACCAGATGTAGCAGAGGGTCCCCATCAGAATGAGCTGCTTCAGGGTCCCGAACCACAGGTTCTGAATCTGAATGACTTTGGTGATTTTCAGAGAGAGGCACGTGTTGGGGCACCGGCACCGTGCGGGCATGGTGAGAGGGTCCTCCAGGCACTGCAGAGGAAAGCGCCCCTCGGCCCAGCCAGGCTCTCTCTTATCTGTCTGGGGCTCGCTGAGCAATGGTTAACTCTTATCTGGCAGGGGCTCACTGAGCAAAGGTGAGTTAAAGTGAAAGGACGTGACTCGAAAGTGAACTGTTTCCCATCCGCCTAGCCCAGGGCAGCACACACGGGGGTGGGGGTGGGCTCTGCGCCGCCTGCGCCTCGTGGAGATGCTGAGCTTGCAGCCTCCGCTTCTTGCAGGTAAGATCCCAAGGGAAGAATCGGATTATGTCCGTCCCTGGTCCACTCTGCTGCGTGGGGAGGTCAGCAAAGGGCCAGGGGCAGCAAAAGTCGTGCTGAGGAGGA